AAGCGAAGCAAATACGTAGTGGAAGCGGAACAGAATTGTATGATTAAATTTATCGCGATGTCTACATAATATTGCGTTATTTATGTTATGGGTTTTACTGATTATTATTGTAACTGGTAACAACATTTGTTTATTAGAACGCTTGTAGAATATTAAAATAATTAGGATATAAATTTTGGGGGGCCTCGGCCCCTGTATGTTTAAATTCTGAGTAGTGGAAGTGTTTAAGGTCGTACTTATTATTTGCCAATGTAGAATTGTCCAATCATCAACTGGTAACAAAGGTTGAGTGAAAATACAAATCTTTGCAAGCTATACAAACCATGAATACTTTGTCTCCATCATATTGTGTCATCAGTAACGCGCCTGGACGGTTACTGTATGTTTCGATATCCCAAGATTTTTTCGTCTATATTTGAAATATTACCTTTGTATATATAAGCTTTTTGTTCCCTCTTCTACATATGATCTGTGCAGATCAGTATCTACCCTATTACTACAAAGATTCACACAAGGAATATTCAGACCACAGTTGAAAAAGTAACTTCAGAACAAACAAAGACACTCACCATTTGAGTTGAACTAGATGTTGTGTATCAGAGAAGATTATGTTGAGAATTGGTCATTATCATGATTTTGAGTATTACAATTAGTATCTGACAAATTTTCTTTCTTTTCTCAGTTATCCAAGAAAGACATACACAGTCACTCTCGATAAGATGAAGCCGTCGGGCTGGACCAAAAGATTCATATTGTCGAAAGTTCATTATAACGAAAAATCTCGTTATAATAATAACAAAGGTCGTATTGAGTCACGTGAACATCATTACATCAAGCGAAAATTTCTTTATTATCAGTTTAGCAAGCTCCGCTCGAGTCAAATTAGGTTGAGCTTTCTTTTCTAAACACAATCTCTTTTTTGTTAACACCTGTTAGAGTAACCCGCTTTTATTGCAGGTTTTTACTAATTATACTTTTATTCTTTATTTGTTTTTTATTGTTGCGAACGAGTTAAAGAGAGTAAGAATTTATGATAAAAGCATCGAAATCTTGTAATTTTGATTTGCGCACTTCATTATATCGAGCTCGTTTTACTAAGCCTGGTTTTATATAAATCGCGCAAAAACATTATTATAACGTTATATCGCAAGATTATAAGTATCTTCATTTTATCGAGCCCGAATTTATTATAACTAATTTGGTTCCGGGGGAAAAGCATCATATTATCTTATCGGGGGATCATTATATCGAGAGTGACTGTGTATTAATATTAAATATATACAGTGCACGAAAAAAGTTTTTGGAGTAAAACATAATTTTCTTCTGAAATACGCGTTTAATCAAAGAAGTCATCTAACACGGTTTGTATGCTCTATCCTTATACTGTAATACAAATAAAAAACTCGATTGTTATTCGCACAATTCGTTTGTTTTGTTTACACTTTTTGTTCCTGAAAACACAAAAAAACTAAAAAAACGAGAAAAAAAAAACAAACAGATAAAAAAAAAGACGCCAAGGAAAAATTTATCGTTATGTCAGACTAACAATACAATAACACGGCCTTCGATCAATCAACATCGCAAAATAATAACAACTTTATGGGCAAATGGTACTCATGATGCCTACACTGTGCGGCTGTGCGGCTAACTATACATAAATTAACTTCTATTTTATATTTTGCTTTCTACAATATATAATTATATAAAAAACTTAAAAATGGAAAATCCTTGGACCCTAAATTAAACCATGTTCTGGTAGACCCCGAAAACTCTCTCCTAATCAATGTCGTCATTTTGGTCAACTATATTTGTTGTTATAATTACATCTAACACTTGACTATTACTGTCACCGTCTAGAACACCGAGTTCGATAAATTCAGTTCTACGTGTATTCTGCGTACTATCTCCGTTGACGATTGTAATTTTAGTTAAAAATAAGAATGGCATTTTCAATGTCATCACGCATATTGATTACCAAATCGATAACCTTTTTAAAACATTTGCTCGAGGATAACTCTCAAATGCCATTCCAATTTTATATACCAATAGGCGTGTTACGAATCAATTCCTGCATAGTTTTTTCCAGTATCTTTCTGATACAAAAGCATCATGGATTCGACTACGTATTTCAATTCAGACTTTTGTCCGCTTCGACGTGCCATATAATATATAGTGTAGGTAATCTTGCGTACTGTCAAAGAGACGCGTACCTTGCATTTGCCAATCATCTGTGCATACATAGAATTATGGACAAATTCCGAACTCAATTATACATATACAGTGAGTAAAGAAATTCTTGGCAATTATATAGTTGATCACTGTGCAACAACTAGCAATCAACATGATTAATACCTCATTCGATAGCTGAAATGCAGTAGATTTATTAATAAAATTTTAATACGGTATTCTTTCTCTGTTATTCTCAATAACTAATTCACATCTGCGCTTTATCGATTTTAGTAAATTAATTAGAACGTTCTCTGGAATAGCATCCCATTCCTCTCTCATAAACCTTTCTGATTTTGCGGCATTCTTTTTTCGACGTTTTTTTTGACAATATTTCACAGATTTTCAATAAGATTTAAATTATAGACTGTCTGCTGGCCAGTCCATCAGATTTGGAACATTTTTACTAAGAAACGTTTGGGCAAGGCGACTGATGTGCTTAAGATCAGATCATTATCCTGTTGAAACCGCCAGTGCCTGACCATTAGTCCACAAATTTCTGGAATGTGCTTTTCAAGGATTTTTACATAAAACGCTGCATTTATAACAGAAAAAACTGGTCTTGCCCTTATCGAAAAACCACTCCCTGCGAATATTTTGGTACGATCTTTTGCAATTCATTGTACAGGTCACTCATCTTTGTACCATCTCTCAACCGTATTCCTAAAGAGCTGAAATGCTGTTTTATCAGTAAATATGGTCTTATTCCAGTTGTCAGTCAAATGTGTTTTTTTTTTGCCCATTCCACCCGTCGCATTTATGGGTTTCAGTTAACATCGGGGTGGATTTTGGTAGCTTTTTGTTGTATCCAAGGTCTGTTAAATGCATTGCAATTGTGGTGTGAGAGACGTCTACGACTTTTGCAGCAAGTCTGATCATTATTGAGCGCAGGGAGATAGTAGAATCGTGGCGTACAGTTTGACCGATGTACCGCGCAACATTAGGGGTAATTTTCTTAGATCGACCAGCTCCATTTTTGTAGTCAACATTGCCAAATTTAGCAGAACAAATTTCTATGTTTCCAAAAGTGTAATATAGTTTTTTGATTGGAAGCTTGTCATTTTTTAAAGTTTTCTAAAAAGTGACTTCAAAACACGATTACGCTATTTAATAAAAAATAGAGAGCACCTCTTCATGATCCTAATTTACGCAATTTTAAGTTTACACGATTTTTTTTTTTGCCAATAATTTTTTTACACACTGTATATATATTGTATGGTCATACACAGTGGATTCTGGTTAGACAAAGTTTGACTCGTTTCATTAATAATCTTCATTAGCGCGGGCCGGACAATAGCGTTACTCGAACACGTCATGTGCCCTGCTTATGGAATTATTTTTTAAAACCCTGATAGTTCGATCGTTAGCTATACTAATACGTAATATACGAAACCGGTTGGAACTCTCGAGACAATTAATCTGAACTGAGACAGGTCCCAAACTCAGACAAAACAAGGTCCAATGGTTATTGACAGTGAGACTTGGAGTTACAAAAACATTAAATTGGTATAAACCACTGGCTTGGCTGTCAAAGAAAAACTAGTGTTTCACACACGCTGTTGCATAACGAACCACAATAACGGTAAATTTATACTGTTCGGGTTACAATAGAACATGAATTTATAGAGCAATAAAAAATCCAAACTACGATGACGAATAAACAGCATAATGCGCCAACATATTTGGATTTGTTTTAAAATTAAATATTAAGTAATTGGTTAATTGTTATCTCTTTTTTAAACATACATTATCTTCTTCTTCTACAGCATGAACACAGTCTTACAAAGATACCACGTATTTTAGCTCGAGTATCGGCAAACCATTGGGGTCCCTCTTCTAAGTAAGACGTATCTAGCACATAGCATTTAAGTACATCCTTGATCGTATTTATATCGTTATGAAGTTGTTTTACTTGTGCGTCTAGCTCTTCGGGATTAGC